CAGTAAATAGTATTTTACACTGTCAATATTGATATAAAAGGAGATCTGGGACAAAATATTCCATTCTCTAAAGTATAACGTCACTATGAAACTCCATTCTCGAAAACGATTCTCTAACTACTTGTAAGTTATGTATCCTGTGTACCAATGAGTCGCTTGGCTGTGAGGACATGGTTTAGTAGGAGATATGATGAAATCGGCGTTTCGTTCTTTGGCTCCCGTTTTGAAACAGATGGTGACACGAGGATTGTACGCCGTGAGAGATGCCACTTTGATGCAAGGCAAAGGATTTCTCCAAAATGTCATCATCGACAAACAAAACACCAAAAAAACTTTTTTTTGAGAGAAGGCAAACATGTCATGCCTCAAACTGGCAAAGACATTTTGGGTCGACGAGAAACTCCTATAAATGCCGTGGACACTGCCCAGTCAGACGTTCATGTTTTCCTTACACCACAGCAAGGACAAGGCAGAAGAGACGACTAAGATACACCTCCAGAGGCATTCATACACCCAGAGTTAGAATGACCAAGAAAAGAAATGTCCGAGAATTATACGTTTTTTGATTATTAAATAACAGAAAGAAAAAATGACGCACCGAGATTCTTGCTAATGTTCCAGGTCGAAACTGGATCTATTTGTCATGCCATCCACTATCATGACTATGCAAGAATTGAAATGGGTATAATTTCATCCCCTCTCCTCTTTGACGGATTCAGCCCCCATAGAGTTTGAAATCGAAGGACAGCCCGAAGATTACATTACAGAGTAACTCCGTCAATAATTTCATGCACTTCTTGTTCAGCGAAGTGAATTTTTACTTGAATAACAAACTAGTCAACAGCAGTATGGATACTTACTGTTACCAAGCGTACCTGGAATATCTCTTGACGTACATACAAGATGCCAAGAACACTCATCTGGATGCTTCCGTAGTATGGAAACCTGTCACAGCAGGCGAGGACAAAGTTTAACAACACAGTCCGAACATCAGTTGATAATGTTCACAATTTGGGCTTTAACGACCGTCGAAAGAAACTCCTGTAAGGATGTAATTTAGAACTTATGGATCTTTTGCATTTGGACGCGTGGATGTTGTTGTAAGAAAAGTATATACTGAACATTCATCCAAGAAGCCAGACTCTACGTGCGACTCGTGGAAGTGGTACTAAAGTAGGAAACGACATCAGCCACACTTTGAGCAGATCGTAATTCTTACTCAAGAGATTCGAATCCAGGTCAGCTTGTAAATGGCACTCATCGCCTTGCCTGTAAAAGCACCGACTCCTTTACCATCTCCACCATGCACACAACTCCAAAAATGTTTATATAGTGTTGATGGTATAAGCGTCCATGTGCAGCAGGCTAAACCATATGTCGACCAGGTAATTAAATCTCATTTGCACTTCAGACGTTCCGGCTTCCTAAGACAGAAATCAAATTTTGTATAAATACTTATAGATGATTACAAAAATACACCAAACAGAACGGAAAGTGTTATCCTTGGATTCTGCAGAAGAGTTGTTGATAATATTAGCACAGTTATTTTATGTAAATAAGAATAAATAATAATATCATATCCCTTAATATTGTGGAGTAATGCTAAAACCCCCTTGTCGCCATATAGCCCATAATGTTAAACATATGGACGCTTTTAACATTATATTTCGGATTTCCCCTTGTTGCGATACATTTCCATAATGCTGCATCTATGATTGTTTATAACATTAGATTTCCTCTTGGCTCCACACAGTCCCAAAATGTTAAACCTATGGACATCTTTAACAGTATTATTCCCAATGTCCATATAGTCCCACTCCTAATATTAATTTCTCATTGTCAACCAATCATTCCGGATTATTAGTTACTTACCACAGGGTCTTGAGAGAGTCAAACTAAGTAGGTTAAAGATGTCAAAACAGATCAGATTACAAAAATGGGATATTTACAATAGTCTAGAGGGAAAAATGCCTTTTGTGAATTTGAATGGGAGTCTTTTGCAACCTGAGTAAAACACTATACATACAACAGTGGATATGTCGTTCGTTGTAAATACAAAGAGTTACATATGAATTTTGAGCCTTTTTGCTTTGTGCCTCGTGCATAGTTAACTGAAGTTAACTATTTGGTATATAGCGTCAGGGGAATCAAAACATTTGATTTATGAGTTTTATTCAGTACAGTCAGGACAATATCTAGGAGGACATTTGTTAAAGCTAAATATTTCGTGTTCAGAAAATAAACATCCAATACAATATCATCCATGCACGATTAAATGGGTATGTAAAAATGAAGTACAATAGTATGTACCATAAATGTCATCCAATGTGTTTCTAATAAATCGTACAAAGGTGGTACGATCCCACGATCTGTGAATTCCATAAGGCAACATAGACCAAACTTTTGACTGGTATGACTTCGACAGCTATAGGTTTTTGTTTTTATCTATTTTGTTTTCTTTAGGTTTGTTCAATTATCTAGATGAGCCTTTGATATACCTGCAATCAAAAAGCCACCACATAACGGAATTGCGCGTAACAGTCTTTATTCAGGTTTGTAGAGGTCGTGTTATTATCTCTGGAAGGTGAAAACAGCCTTATTGCTGAGATCCTCCGATCAGGGTAAAAGTCATTCAATTTAGTAGCCACTTAAGTTGTATATAAATAAATTACATGAGTTATTTGGCTGTGCAGCTCACTCTTAAATATTCATGACAGTGATTAATTTTTTTACATTAATTAATTGGGAAAGAGCCAATCTTTATTTTGAGATACATTGTATTATGGTTGTGAATGCGGAGTGGAGAAAGTTCACTTTGTAAAGTCAGTGCAAGTTATGGTAATAAAGTATTTTTTGATTGACCCGGAAATGAAACCATGACCCCGGGGGAATTTTATAGGCCATTAATTGTAGTTTTGCTGGACAGGTGCTGTCTAATATTGGCGTGTGTACTGGTCTATACTACTGCTGTCATCTCAAGAAATCCTAGTGTGATGTTTTTGTTTTGAGTTCAGCTTACATAAATGAATGTAACACAAACGACAAATTTATTGTAGCCTGACCAGTTCATAGCTAAAAATGACATGGCAAATTTTTGATCACAAGATTTTCAGCTTTTTAAGAACGTTTACCTACCCAGAGCGTCAGTTCCGGTTCTTTTCACACTTTACTAAAAAAAAAACACTTTAAAAATTACTTTGCCAAAAACACCCCTACCCCATTTACGGAGACCACCTTGACTATTTTTATGATTGGATTATAACAAAGAATTTACTGAGTTGTTGTGAATAGGATTAGGCAAGCAGTATTCGAACACATCATGGCTTTGCTTTTCTTAGAAAAACATTGGCGGAAAGACCCTAGCTTGTCCCGATTTAGGCAAGGAAAAAGTCGCAGATCAAAGTAATATATTTCTCTGAAGAATATTTATTTTAAATCTGAGGCCATTATATTATTATTATTATTATTATTATTATTATTATTATTATTATTATTATTATTATTATTATTATTATTTATTATTATTATTATTATTATTATTATTATTATTATTATTATTATTATTATTATTATTATTATTATTATTATTATTATTATTATTATTATTATGTCTCATCTTTTAAATGTATGCCATAATTATTTCGGACAAGGACATTTACTTCAGCGTGCGGTTGTTTAGGGTTTTAAAGATGGCATCTTGCTATATCTAGTTACATAACTCAGCACAAAATATTCTTGTTCTTCGAGATATTGATGTTGAACATAATATCAACATCAATGAATACTTGGTACAGTTTAGCCTGAAAATATGCATGTGGAATTTATTTGAAATTTATTATACTCGCTAGTAAAAACAGTAAGTCGCATCCTACAATGTATGGAGATCTACTTGTTGGACTTATGTTTTACTAATTTATTTGTCAAAGCAGCTAGTAATTTTATGTTTTTAATGAAACTGCATTTATTTTGCGCTTTTTTTGAAACGTAAACCATGGATTATACTTGTAATTACTAAGCAATGATGTAATTTTCTAATTGCATCACACATTTTCTTGTAGCCGTCTGCTTTACGTTTGCTTTCAATGTGGATCTCTATGAAACTACACCGGCAAACATCCATTTACAACTTCGAGGTCATTCCAACGGATCATATCTTGAATGTATGCCGAGAGCGGACATTCAGTCCTCCTTTTACATTTAGCAAAAAAGGATTAACTAGAAGTTGCGAATGCATCGAACTGTTTTTCTTTCTCGAAACTTCTTTATCAAACCATATCATGAACAATCTAATTGTAAAATAACCTTTACCGTCAGAATGGACTATTTTTTCTTTTTTTTGAAGGAAGTTTCCGGCGAACAAAATAATCTTTCTTTCTGTAAATTTCTACGCCGACATGCATCCGATTCTTATTTTTGTTTCAGAGACATACACCAGGTTGTACCGAATGGGTAAATTAAATAGTCACTGTTACAAGCAATCTAATCTGTCCCAGATATTATTGCTATCCGAAAGTATGTGAGAGTACGAGTCAGTTTCACAGGTGCTCCATGGGAGTGTGATGCTGAAAGCAAAAGCAATAACCTACCTGTACGAAAAATATAACGAGCGACAAAATTACGTCATATCCCCCCCGCATGAAATATGATTGACTTAAAAGGCAACAGTATGAAACAGATTTATGGGTGTTACTTGATTCTTACCCTTTCATATTTCGCCGGTAACGCGTGTACCACAAAGCCGGAATGTTATGAAAAAGTGTGAAACGTGTATTCGATCTGAGTGAACATGAGATGACAAATGTATAATTCTTCTATGGAACAGAATTTTTAAAATTGAATCTAGTGTACGTGTTTGTATGTGTGTGTTGTGTGTGTTTTAACGTAGCTGTAACATGTTTTTAGTCATATTGCTATGATGTCTGCAGTGCGGCAGTTTACACACTTAATGGTGATCGCCTAGCGAGTCAGCTGTTAGTACAATTCTTTTTAAGTCTTTGGTATGACTCAGCCGGGGTTTGAATACGCGACCTACCGCATCCAAGGCAGACACTATAACCACTAGGCCACCGGAGTAGTTATTTAATCGAGTTAGTGGTATGTAGGAACTTATTTTTATGCATTTACCACTGTTCTTAGATAATGAAAATGTATCGTAGAGTCGCAAACACTGTTTTTCTTTTCGTGGGTCAGTGGTTCTTTCCGAGTTCTTCCTCCACCATTAATACTGGCCGCCATGTATAGCCTATCCTGTGCTGAAAATGGCGTTAAGCCCTACGACAACAACAACAAGGTTGTTTCTTTTAGTACACAGAGCAAATTACATAAGAGCGCAAAGATGAAAATAACATAATGAAATGGAGGTTTAGGTATGAAAGAAGATTTTTAAAGTTACTTGCCTTGTCTCTCTTATAGTATATTAGGCAGGATCTTTTGTCAGAACGGGTCATGGGGTAATTTGTGAGAAATTTGTCACTCGATATGATTTTGTTCCTTTAGGTTATTGCTTTTATTAAACACTACGCTCGTATCGAGCACCTGTGGTTTGTTCCTTTTATCAGGTTTTCATGGTGTTATATTTTCGTTTATGCAAGCACTTAAAGTCTGGTTTATTTTAAGTAAGCGTCTATTTCATCATGTTTCATTTCCTGCGTCAACAGGAACCAGAGCCAAAAATATTACATCTTTATCTGAAGAGGTCCAGACATTATTTGAAATGATCTAAGAGAAAATGAAAACTCAGCCAGCTTAGGATGCGATGCCCATTCGGACCATTGTACTAATTTGGTCTCACCTTTGAAAGTGGTGGCTATTTTTACCGCAAAAGCATGTTGGCTGTATTTACCTACCTTGACTGGTCATAACATCTTATATGGCATAAGAAATTGGAAAAATATAACATTTTATGAATAATAAAAATTCGGGCATATCTTTATATGCATAAAACTGGGACACATATACATTTTATATAACATAAAAATTGGGATACATAAAAATCTATTCAAAATGATGTTAGTAGAATCCTAGCTACAAACAGTGGCATGAGCAAGTGAAACTTTTATACTTTTAATTCTGCAATTTTCATTTTGTAATCGTTATTGTTAAATGCAGAAATCATAACTGGTTAGAGATGAAGAATGGACATTATGTATTTTGCGGATTGACCATTTGATAATAACTTCCGTTATATATTGGTATCTGTCAAACTTAAGGCATCATTTTAACTAACTTCACATCCAAGACTGGGATCAAATATTCTCTTGTATATAAGCAATTGTGTCATCAAGCCATGTCACACTTTTGTTCTTAAATTATGGAATAAAATTAAGTGCTAAATGTAAATGGCTGAAAAAAAAATCGTCGTCATGCTGAAATGACATTCATTACGCAAGTCATACGCTTTTTATTTTTCATCGAGTCGCATCATCCTTTACAAGTATAGAACTGACAAGTGTATTTCCTACTGTCTACTTCCGAGTAAGGCCTACGCCTAAATCAAGATGTCTTCGACTTGGCATGTTGGCACATCAATCGTCGATCTGAAAGAAAAAAAATACACCATTACTTCAGATGAACATGATATGAAGGCACACATTTTTCTTTTACGATATGAAACATTTAAGTAGCTTTGTTTAGCTGCTACATCTCGATTCCACATATACTGGGGGATAGTGGGCACATTAAGATGGATAACAACGCCAAGTTTCATTAATTCATTTTCTACATGTTCGCATCAAAGAGTATTAACCTATGATCTGTTCAAAAACAAAAATAAATACTGAGCGCTGAATTCGAAAATACACAGTCTGATCTAAAGGTGTGACGCCCTTTGTCTTTTCTTTTCTTGTTTATTGTCTATTGTCGAGGATAAGCTTGAGTTACGGTCACGTTATCATACTATTTCAATACTAAAGTTTCTCGCGTGAAGAAGTCAAAATGCCTCTTACTGGAGTTTCTCTACTTTTTATGGCTGTGTTAATGGTCGAAATAAAAGCTCAGGGGTTCCGATCTAATGGTGTGACATTCCTTGGCCAGACTGGACTGCAAGCGGGAAACCAGCTACAGACAGCATTTCCTTTCAGTAACCTGGGTTTTGGACGATCATCAACTGATACGAATGGCCTTACTCAAACAAGTTTCCTGCAACAACTACAGTCCGTCCCAGCTTCAAGCTTATCTCTTGGCAGTATATCCATAGTGGACCCCGAATTACTGGGGCCGAACGAAGGGCTCGGTCATAATTCTGGGCAGCAGTCTCAAAGTATTTTAACAACCGGAACGGCTGTTTCATCTGGAACGCAGTCCGGTGCCTCGACAAATAATGCGGCTGTTTCCCCATATTCACTTCCTAGCAGAATTTCGCCATTAAGAGGCCCAAACGGTGAAGTTTTTCGTATTACAAGTGATGTGTTATTGCCTTTAATTTCACCCGACCAATTCAACCGTCTTCCTACTCTGGGTGGAAATGGGGATGCTGTTACATCGACTGGAGAATACATCAACACCCTGGCTCCACGCCCTAGTGGTCAGAGTGGTTCGGGGTTCCAGTTTGAACCTTCATTTGGACCAGGTAATTAGAAATATTAGCCTATCCGCAAGTCACGTTTTGTCTGTGCTTAAATATTTAGATAAATAGAATAGCCAGTTGTAATTTTTTATTTTTTGTAAAAATAATTACGTTTAGTTATTAATTTAGTCCTGTTTATTTGATAATGTGAAATGAAAAATCGCATAACTTGATGGTTGCATTAATATAGGGGAAGACTGTTCACTACGCAAAAGTAGGTAACATTTATCTAGTTTTCATTCACTAACGATTACAATAAGATTTTACATTTGGTGCCATCTGTATAACCACGTTATTCGGAGCTTAATAAGTGCGTTTTAAGAAGTTTGGGGACCTAGGTACAAACTCTTACCTTAAAGGTAACCTGAATTGTGCCTCAATCTCTCAGTCTCAGATATAGAGTATTGCCTTGCATTTCCGTGTGCATGTGTGTCATTTTCTTAAATTTATTAATATAGTACTAAACTGCTAACACAACCGACACCGACATTGCTTGTTTTTGGGCTGCTACGGGGCCCTAGGCACTTGCCTCGCGTGACTGTGCCTAAAATGGCTCTGAATAAGTGCGTTTAATATTGACCACTAATGATGATCTTTTCGAGGTTAATTAAATGATTTAAGAAAATACTTTACGTAACATATGTCCATCAGCCGAGAATGATATCCCCAATCTCTTATATTGTCTTTAACACCACTGTATTTTTACCATGGTCCCAACTGTCTTTTTCTGTAATTGTTTAGAGTATAGTTTTAATTTCCACTGAAATTTGACAAAAGGAGTAAGCAAGTTACAAATTAAAATGCTAGGTCGGTTGTTACAAACCTTCATCTTTTCAGCTCCCTGCCCCCAAGAAAAGAGAGAAAATAAAAACAAAACCACAAAAAAAAATTAAAAAAACCCCATACCATCCTCTCAAATCTTTCCCAAAATCACCAAACAATTATATCAAGATGTTAATTAGCCATTTTCTGAGGCATATAGTATAATGGGCTGTTATTGATATTACTCTATTTTTAGGGCACGTGTTGTCAAGATATTGGGACTAGAAATATAAATTATACGAAATCCATAAAACTGACTCAGCTTGATATTTCATGACCTCTAAATTTCGCATTCGATTACTTGGCGTTAAATAATTTTTACTTTGTTTTAAATAATATTCAGATATTGCAATAACATTTGAAATGCAAGTTGTAATATTTATATCATTGTTCTCCATAAAACATTCCTTTCATTAAACCTTTGTAAAAAGCTGCCATCCCGAACGGACGTAGCTAATATGAACCTTTAAAAAGAGTACAAAAATTCATAGGCCTAATTTAATAACACCACGGGGATCACCTATTATGTCAGTGGGTTTTGATCCAGCATCAAGACGTTTCAAGTAAAACATGGAAAGGGTTTTGAAAATCCAATACGTGTTCCGCTACTGATTGTGATTGCTTTTTTACATAAGAGGCGCGGTAAGAGCAGGTAAATTCTGCAAGATGCGTGCAGATCTGTGGTGGCTATAACGTTTCCAGGAATGAGAAAGCGCTAGTTAGGGTGCAATATGATATGGAAACGTTAACGTCATATTTATGACGTCATGTCTCTATACATGGTACAACATAAACTTACAATGTGTCAGCCAGCATAGGGACATTACACTAATTTTAGATTTGAGGACATAAGTCTACGTCATTATAACCGCTAATATAAGTCAGTAGTCTGAAAGCATGGTAAATGTATTGTTAGATGCACGCCCTGTAAGAATAGGAAATATGGAATGACAACGATTTATTTCGGTGTATCGCATAATGTTGCTTCGTTGGTTGCATTATTAATAACCATTAATATCTATATCCTACAGAAGATATGGGAGATAGTATATCTAATCAAGAACACACAGGTAGGTATCGAAATAGCGATTGTTTTTATTACGAGTCTAACATTGTACCAACTGATCTACCGCAACTTCCTTCGCATGAAATAATCGAAACAAAAACGTTAGCTTACTCTACGTATAAAGTACTCAAGACGCCCGCTAACTTATCGAAGCGTACAAATACATCCACGTATCAGTCAAGTCATAACCAAGATCACCAGATAATGGCAAGCTATTATTAATACATAATTTTTATGGATGATGAAAGATGACAATTTGTTCCAAACGGCCGACTGGTTGATTGACAATAACCATGAAAAATTACCGAGGCGAAATGAAACTCTTTGGGATGTTCCACATGTAAATAATTCTTCTGCAGAAACATTTGCTTCTAAATATATTTGTGCAAAGTAGTCCATAGACAGTTAAAAGACCTTGGCTAAATATTCATCTATTGCACAATAAATTCTGAATTCGTTTCGTCTAAGATAATAATCATATTGAAGTTATGCTCTCAGTATATAAGTTAAAACTAACATACAACCATCTGCTATTTTTAATATTTTAGAAACTAGAGTATTACTTTCCTACCTCCCAAAACTTTATGGAAAACCCTAGGGTCAAAATAGTATGGGAAAACTGGGC